GGGGCACTCAAGCGCCACGTGTCCTAACATAATTTTTTTTATAATAATAATAATAATTTTTTTAAAATTTATTAATGATGATAATAATATTTACACTCTTATAAATTTTAATATTTTTAATACTAATACTTGTACTTATACTAAAAGTGTAGGCAGTCCACGCACCATGTGATGCTTGGGTTGCACCCAAGAGCAAGCAGACCAAGCACCAAGTGGTGTTGTGCTATCTAAAAGCCACGTTACATCTGGTTTGCCCGCGACTACCACTCAATGCTATTTTGAATCTTGCCCTGCCAGGGCCAAGGCTAGCCTTGGGCCATGCCTGAGCCAAAACACCACCTGGTGTTTGGACTACAATGCAGAGGAAGTAGGCTAAGCTCCACGTGTTGCTTAGGCTGTTCACCTTAGAAGGGAACCCAAACGCAACGTGTCCCAACGTGATTTTTTTATAGTAATAGTAGTTTTTTAAAAAAAATTATTAATAACGATAATAATAATTATAATTTTTAAAATTTATTAATAACGATAATAATAATTATAATCTTATAGATTTTAATGAAAATAATAACATTTATAATACAAATAATAATATTTTTAGTAGCAATAATATTAATTATTATAAAAATAATATTATTTATAACACCAAATATAATAATATTTTAGAGACTAATACTATTAATTATACTAAAAAAAATAATATTATTAGAACAAATAATAATAGTTTTAAGATCAATACTATTAATTACCCTAAAAAAATAACAATATTTTTAATACCAACACTATCAATTATACTAAAAAAATATATTAAAAAATAATATAATAATTCTTTTAACATTAATTATAAAAAACAATATCAACAAAACAAATAATAATTATACTAAAAAAATATTTTTAATACAATTATACTAAATATATAGCGACCCCGGTGCCATTTGGTGCTTGGACTGCACCTAAAAGAAAAGAAGTCAAGTGACACGCTGCGCTTGGGTGGACTGCTTATTGGCGTTGCACCCAAAGTACCATGTGCGCTCTTGGTCTATCTCAACACCCAAGGCTAGATAAACCAAGCATCAGGTGGTTACGTGCCTGGCTTCCTAGTCTGCCTTTGGTCCTAAAGCCGAGTAGACCGAGCACCTAGGGGCAGTTGCCCCAGGGGCTTGCTTCCAGGTTGGTGCTCTTGCTCTCCAACCCATCTATACTCCTGCGAAACAATATAATTTATAGTTAAAGTTTTTATAATTTACAGTGAAAGTGCTTATAATGTATTTATAGTGTAGCATAATTCACAATAAATTTATTTATAATAAATAGTATTTCATTCTATAGTAAAACAATGATTAGTTTTAATTATAGTTAATTGTTTAGATGTTAGTGTTATATTAGAATGCTCCACACCATTATTATTATTATTATTATTCTAGGTCGTGAAGATACAACTTGAATATGAAAGAAATATTTTTATTTTCCTAGCATATGTTGTAGATCCGCATCATATCATATATTAAATATGCAAGCACAAATAATATTATGCAGTTTAAGTGCTGTGTGTGTGTATATATATATATCAAATATGCAAGCACAAATAACTATTCAATGGGATAGTAAAAATAACGTTTGTCTTTCAAAATTGTTTTTTTGTTTGTCTTGGTTACGAGAGTGATTTTGACTTTTTTAAAAGTCAATTAGTTATTAAAAATTTATAGGGTTTATTTTAATTTTTTTAAAACAATTAAAATATTTATTTGCCTTCATACTAAAAAAATAAACTGTTAATCAAGGGTATTTACATCCATGCATCTTTTACAAAATTGTGCACTGTCTTTTACGTCCTTGGAATTGAAAACAAAAAAATAGATTGGGATTTATAGGTGATTTTATCTTTTCACATGAGTTTTTAGTTAACATCAAAATCATGAAGGGTGTGTTGAACCTTTTGCTATAAATAATTAATTTTTTAATCAAAAAACTGCAAGACGTGTGTCATATATGTTGGCGTGTTAAAGTTGTGTCTTTCGGGTAGTATGTGCGGTGTCTTCTAATGATAAAATATATCTTTATGTCGCCCTCCTTCTTTTGATGCGGCCTGTAATAGTGTTTGATGGGTGGTTTATTATCTATCGTTATATTTTTGTTTTCCTTCCTGATTTATTTTCTCTTTTTTTCATGAAAAATGAACAACTATCCTCTTTTATTTTCATTTTTTTTTATTTTAATGCTTAGGTTTCCAATTGCTTATTTTAGTCATTGGATCTTTTAAAAATATTTTTGATGTTTTCAACTTAGTTTTTAGATTATATTTTTTTTTTCAATTCGATGTTTTCAACTTAGTTTTTAGATTATATATTTTTTTTTTCAATTTGATATTTATTCTTTTAATTTTTGATTTTTTTCCTAGTCTCTTTTGTTATATTTTTGTTGATTTTAATTTCTTCATTTAATCAAAATTTATATTATTTTATTTTTTCAATGAAGACCTCATTCTTATGATTTTTTCAATGAAGACCTCAAAATTTATAAGCAAACCATCTTTTTTTTAATTCTAAATATAGGTGTCACAACGTGTCTAGCTACTGCTTTGTTAACAAGCATACGTTCTGCCCTCTGAATTTCTTTTTCTCTGTGGACACCATAAGTCCAGCTTCGAAGCAAACTTCCATCGGTTTAAGCCTCAAAGAATACCTAAAAGGTACGCGTTCAAATTATAAGGAGTAAATACTTAATTTCGTTGTTCTGTTTCATTTTATGACGTTCAGATCATTAAGGTCTCCGAATTTCAAGACACATAATAGGATATTGTCGCCTCTCATTATATTATTATAAGATTTAAACCTTTGGAACAAGACTGATATCATGATGATGGATTCGTTTCAAACCAACGAAATTATCAATAAAATAATTCTATTGGTAATTTATGGTGATAATTACTGACAAATTCTATTATGTCTGTAATTTTATTAATATTTACCAATGAAATACTTTAGTCGGTATATATTGATAGAATTACGGACAAAATATTTAGAATTAAAAAAAAGATGGTTTGCTTATGTTGAAGTTTTTTCGGGTGATTTTACCGACGGAATCACCAAGGGATTCAAACCGAAATCTCCATACAGATGTGAGTGATTCGCTATCAGAATTGCCGACAAAGTCACTGACAAAATGAGTATGTTGGTGATTCCATTGGCAAAAGACAATATATCACCACTCTGCTGATCCTCTCTTCCTCTATTTCTCTTCTTCTTTGACACGACCAAAAGATTGATGTTTTCTCTCAAGTGCAGGAGTGTTGAAGTAATAAATAACCCAGCAAGACTAG